GAACCTTGCTCTGATACCATGTTTGCTGGATTGCAGCAGTCGAAGAAGAGGGAGAGGAAGAAGAAGAGAAGAAGATCTGAGAGAGACGGCTTAAACTCTTCAGCCGGCCCAACAAGTTTATATAGATGATTATAAAATAATATTACATGAACGGACTAGAATGCCCCTGATTAGTGATGGGACACCTAGACAAATAAAACAATTAAAACACTAAACAGGTTTGGGCCCAATAACAAGGCCCAATAACTAAGAACATAAGACACAAATAAGACCAACTTAAACACTAATAACAGTCGAACCAACACCCAATACCCTAGAAGGCATTCTATTGATTAAGTAGGATGTTATGAGCACTGCATGATACCAAAAACTCTTTGGAACCTTGTTATAAAACAATAAAGCACAAGTGGTTTCCATTAAATGACTATTCTTTCTCTCACCAAGTCCTATTGTGGAGTGTAAGAACAAAAGGACTGATGTATAGTCCCTGACTCCCTTCATCTTCAAAGAACACATTTAGGGAATTCTTGAAATATTCAGCAGCATTGTCTAACTGTAACTATTTCACCTTCTTCCCAAGCTGAGTTTCAATCATCTTGCAAAATATCATGGTGATTCTAGGTACTTCCTCTTGCTCTTTCATCAACCTCCTATTTACTAATGCTGTTAATTCATTCTTCCTAATAAAAGATATTTTCTAAAAGGTATTTAAAATTATAAAACCATTTCATTTATAGGGATAAAGAATTTTAGACCATGACATGGAGTTGTTTGGGCTTGCCTTAAGGGGCTTGGTTGGGGTCAAGGGGAAAAGCCCCCAGCCCAGCCACCAAGCTTCAAAAAAAAAAAAAAAACCATTTGTCCCACGTTGGTAGTATGGGATGCTAATGTGAGATATCCCACATCAGTAGTATGGGATACTGTTGTGTGGTATATATGTGCTTGGGTTCCCTCCCTCTAACAGCTAGCTTTTAGGGGTGAGTTCTCCTAAGGCACGTATCAAAGCATGCCTGAGGTGAGGTTCAAGGTACACCAAGCACATGCCTAGGTGCACTGGGCATGCATCTTTTCACTTGTTTTAAATAATTGTATTTATTATGGTCATTTCCTTTTGGCCAAAATTATTTCCTAAGCATGACGACCACATAACTTCCTTTACTCATCTCTTTAGATTTGCAATTATAAAATTTTAAAAATAAAGGGAAAAAAGTAATACTTAAAATTTTTCTGTAATTTAGGGGAGCAATGGTAATCGCTACACCATATGCCAGTGGATTCGATCACTTCCTCATTGCAGATGAAGTACAATTCAAATTTGACAGGTGCCTTCGGTTTTTACAAGAGATTGTGAGTACCTGATATGATGTGCAGGAAATTTCTTGATTTTTCATGATTTTCCAAACTAAAATTTCTTGTATCTATAGGTAAATGATCTCCCTACTTTTGGCATTGGCCATTCTTTAGGATCTGTCATCCACCTTCTGATTGGTATTATTATTTTTTTACAATTTTGTAATTATAGTTTTTTTATGATGTGGTTTGGTTTTCTTCTTTTTGGCTGCCTTGGTGACATAATGGTTTCTTTTGCAACACTTCATGCCACAGGGTCAAGATATGCCATCCAACGAAATGGGAATGTATTAATGTCCTTTAACAATAAGGTAGTCTCACATTCTTTTGGCTGTTAGAAGTTAAAATGTTATCTATTGATTTATTTCTATGAAAAGATGAGTTATATAGACAACTACCTAATTTTTCATTGGTGTATCAAGAACATACTTCTAGAGGTTGCACTTGGACCTGCATCATTTTCCTACAACCACTTTATTGGCTTCTACATGCAACAACTAAGTTCCCTATATAGTCAACTTGAGTCACAAATATTTACTTTTATTCAGATGAGGCTTGTGGTATTCACTTAATAGTATTCAAGGGGGTTTGGCAACATGCAAGTAAATCCAGAAAAAAGAGTACTGAATTTCGCCCCAATATAGAAATTTTGGTTGAGGATCCACAAGAAGAACGAAAAATAGGGAAAGGATGTGGGTTCCTCTAACCCTAGCCTTCTCATTGGGGTCTCATCAACCCAATTGTAATTTGCAAGATGGAGTTTCACCATTATTAAGGTGGTATTTGACAAATCTAGATTATCTAAAAAGCCAAAAAGTTTTGAGAACAGTTTTGAAATCTGATCTGTGAAAATTGTTTTTCTTCTTTATGGTATTTTTGAATTGTTTTACCATTGAATATTATATATATTTTCTACTTCACATGTTTAACATTATTCATTTTATTCTTTGACTAAAAGCAATAAAAAATTAAAATTATTAAATGGTATACAGATTCTGATTGGGATGGATCCATCTTTGATAAGAATCAGAAGAAAAACAGTCCTTAGGAATGGGGGACTGTTTAGAATAGATGCAGAAATAAAAAAGGAACAGCAGAAAATGCTTCTTCTATGGAGTAGAAGGTGAAGAAGAAGATGGCGGCAATAAGGGTTCAGAGAATGAGAGTTTCGAACCTTACTCTCTTCTCCTACACCTTAACACTATTTTATTAAGTTAAACTTGAATAATTACAAGGAGGCCCTTAGTTGGGCAAGAAATTAAAAGAACATAACATAGAAAGGATGGGCCCAGAATAAGGCCCATTACAGAAAGGAATATAAAAGGTAAGAAAGAATAAACAGCCTATGGGCCATTCGGCCCATCCTCTCTACAGAATCCATAACTGGCTATTACATCTTACTAGGTGGAAATTTAGTTATGTGGGAGAGTAAGAGGCAGATGGTTGTTAGAGTTGTCAATGGGTTGGATCTACCCAATAGGACCGAACCGAATTGATTATACTGGTTCTAGTTCTAAGTTTTGTTTCCCAATTATAATTTGTTTGCGAGCAATTTTTCTATTCCAAACTGATTAAGACCCGAACCGATTATGTAATTAATAATATATAAAGATCTTGTGGTTTTCTTGTATTTTTTTGTTATGATTTATGTCTAGAGGGGTAAATTTGATATATTATATAAGTTAATTTTAGTTAAAAAAACACTTGTTCTTTTATCAGCAAAGGATATTCATTAATTAAATTTGGAGTTAAATTTTAGTACTGTTGTTGCACCATTCAAACTAAACCCCAAATATAAGAGTTTAGATTTTTGCCCAAAGCAAATGGGTTATATCCACCCCTTGTTTTGCCAGTACATCTTCCAAGTCATTTGCACTTCTTTTAATCTAGCTGGAGGTGATATTGAGTTCCTTTGCTACATAGTCTATCTCCTTGAAGGCATGTCTATAACTCCAAGTTGTTGAGTTACAATGCCTTGTCCAAGATATGACCAGTTTTGGATTTATGAAGGTTGTTTGGACTAATGCACGTAGGCCAATCTTTGCGCCTTAAGTGGTTCTGCATGCATCTCGTTCAAAATAGAGGCCTTACCTCCAAATTTGCACAAGGTTGTTTGGACTAACCCATGCCAAACAATGCCTATATAAAGGCCTTACCTCCTACCCAGAAGGTACATGCACAATTTAGTTCTTGCAGCTCTCCAACTCTCTCACATTTAGCAATCTTAAAAATCTCTGATTCGCTGGCTTAAGCATCGAAGTGCCCACCCCGGGTAAAGCAACCTGGGCACTGTGACACTGTTTCCTTGCAGGTCTCACTAGTAAACTATGCAGCTCGCCACCTTCATCTAGAGACAGTTCAGCTAGGCGTCCGAGCCGCCTTCTTCTAGGGATAGTTCAACTAGGCAACAGAGCCACCTTCTAGCTCATCACCATTCAGCTAGGTGTCAGAGCCACTTTGCAACTCATCACCATACAATTGGGTGTCAGAGCCACCTTCCAGCTCATCACCATTCAGCTAGGCGTCAGAGCCACCTTCCAGGTAGGGATTGCTCAGCTAGGCATCCGAGTTACCTGTCAGTCGGGAGCTGCCAAAAAGTGCATCATCAATTAGCGTCGTTTGTGGGAAACGCTACAAAAGGCTAAGTTCTCACCCAATTCTCTAAGCCTCAAGTAATAGCATCTTCAAGAAACAACAACGGCACTTAATCGAAAGAATCCCCTAGGGGGGCAAAATCAAAATGATTAGCCCAGACGAGTTCTCGCAATCTTGCCCGAACAGAATGTGAGGTCACCCCGCAAGTCGAGCCCTCTATGGTTCCCGTGGGAGTTGATAGCCAACAAATTGTGAGGTCGCGCCGTAGATCGAGCCCTCCATGCTCTACATGGGAGTTTATGGCCAATAGGTTGTGGAGCCACCCTCGCAGGTCAATCCTTTCGAAGAGACGAGGTGTTTGTAGGCTGCGGTGCTGAGAGCAAAACTAGACTGTCAAAATTCCGCCGAACTGGCGACCTGGAGACCTGCCTCCGCCGACCTGGCGACCTACTTCTGCCGACCTGGCAACCTACTTCCGCCGACCTGGCGACCTACTTCCAACGACCTGAAAATCTGCCTCTACCGCCAACATGGCAACCAACCTCTGCCGACCTGACGACACGTAATCAGCACAGACGAGCCTTGTCAGCCTTGTTCGCGAGGTCGCCCCTAGAGATCAAGCCCTTTGCAGCTCCCACGGGAGTCGGCAGCCAACAGACTGTAGTTGCCCTTGCGGGTTGAGCCTTTCAAGGTTCCCGTGCGAGTTGGCAACTTGCAATTAGTAGAGCTGCCCCCGCAGGTTGAGAACCCTGTGGCTTATCGTAGGAGTAGACGACCAACACCTCTGAGGAATGACAGTGCAGACGTGACACCGACCCGCTATTTAAACAATGACACACATATTACAAGGGGAAGCCAAACCGCTTTCAACATCAAGGACCCCTAAGTTGACCTTGAAATATGTTGGTAACAGGCCAAAGGACCTACAATAAAGCTACTCCCTTCGCTGAGCTAACCTCAGCTACGGAGTAGGGGGCAATTGATGAGGGCAGATTTGGCCCTCTACTGACATCATGACACATGGCATCTCAGAACAGTTGAATGACATCCCAGCATCACCTAGGTGACAACTTGCCTTGGCCAAAATGATGAAGTCCCAGCTAGCGACCTGGTGACCTGCCTCCGCCGCCGACCTGGTGACCTGGCAACCTGCCTCTGCCGCCAACCTGGCGACCTGCCTCCGCCACCGACCTGCCTCCCCTTCCGACCTGGCGACCTGCCTTTGTTGCCAACCTAGCGACCTACCTCTGTCGTTGACCTGGCAACTTGCCTTCGCCACCAACTTGGCGACCTGCCTCTGTTGCCGACCTAGTGACCTACCTCCGTCACCGACCTAGCGACCTGCCTCTGCCGCCGACTTGGTGGAAATCTAGCTAGCGACCTCGTCCACAACTCAAGGTCGCTAGCAGCACCTCGTCCAGAGCCGACCTGTGGTACCTCATCAGTACCGGTCAAAGTGACCTCGACATGAGGAGCAACCTCCCTCAAAGGCTTGCCGACCTGATTGAGGTCCAGGTGGCGTCCTGCAAGACGTGCTCGCTGACCTATTTTGCATGCATCCCGTTACTCCCAGGTCTCTCGGAAGTCAGCTCTCACACCAAATGTTCTGGAAGAAACCGAATAAGGCGCAAAGACTAGTCTACATGCACGACTACCTCTGAGGACTTTGGACCAGTTAGGCACATCTTCCCGGAGATCTCGGACGCGATGCGTGATGCCCACGTCAAACAATGCCTATATAAAGGCCTTACCTCCAACCTCAGAG